TCCTTACCATTGTGTATATTTGGATCGCTTTTATTGATATTTTATATTTGTACTCTTTCCTGCTTTGTACAGCAACTGCCGCATAACAATTTCCCTCAGGATAAATAAAGCTCTATCTTATCTTAATAGATGAGAATGAATACAGAGCCATATCATTTAAGAACAAACTAAATGCTATTTCATGCATTCAAAAACAAATCAGAACAATGGATAAATAACATTAAATACTCTCTATGACTCTTTGGAATAAGCACAGTGCGAGAAAAAGCTGAGTACATGTCATAAATGTAAGCAAAATGAAATTGAACATACCCTAAAATCAGATATTGTCGTTAGCATTCAGGATCGGTGGCAGTCCTGAGGGTTAAATATTAAATATTTTAACTAAAAGTTAGTCCAATGAGATATAAGAATGACTGTTCTGTTTATAGGTTTCACAATCTTCACTGTTAAACTGCCAATTTTACAGTATAGACAGTTACAGAATAACAACATTTTATCAGACGAGAATCCGTGAGACTACATCTTATCAAATACAAGTGTGTCCTGATGTGTTTCAGTGGTGTTGCTTCAAAAGGTTGAGAGCCACTGCTATAGAGCACCAACACACTGTTTAATCCATTCTTTACACCTTTGTTCTTGTATTCTTGCCTTTACAAAGGCAATAAGAAAGGCATGACCTTCCAAACTTCAAATGCAGAATATCGCTCTTACTACAGCACAATGCTCACCGCTTCAGCATGTGAGAAATCTAAAGCTTACCAGCCCTATTTAAGGCACAGAGTCATGGCTGCTAAGATATGATTGGACACTGTTCGGGAGAGGCGTTTAGTGAATGGTCAATTTGACCAAAAGTGAATATTTGATGATATTGAATTATTTCCCAGTCTAGTCTTGGGGCTTATGAACTAAATAGTGGATCTCCATAGTCTAAAAAAATACCAAAAAAAAAACCCAGGATCAAATCATGTCTCAGGTGTCATAAAGAACCTGCACAGTCTCATTGTTCAGCTACAGTATGTCCAAAGGTGAATACACAGAAGTAAGATTGATGTTAAGTGTCTCCCTGCCACAGACTCCCTCTGGTAAAGAGCGGCTGATTTACACAAAACACATCCTCATATTCTCTGCAACCCCCCAGCTGTGCCCCCTCCCTCCCCTTGTCTTTTTCCCTAGTCTGGAAAAAAGTACAAGAGATGACTATCCAGGCAGCTGGGGAGAGCGGGAGGAAGTGTAAATCATATCAAGGAATCTGTCTCTGGGACTCTGCGGAAAATCTGTAGGGGACAAGGGGGGATTGAGTGAGAGGCGTCTGTGTGTGTGTGTGTGTGTGTGTTGGTCAAATACATGAATGGATGCCCACCCATAAACACAGCTTCACTGACCAGACTGCTGAGACAGCTGGTCTGTAGACAACAGAGAGGCTGTCTTCAACATGCATTTGCGATACAACAAAACCTTGAAGCGTCAAATCCGTCTGTCTTCATCTGCTCACTGTGGTAACCATCCTGCAGTCACTACACCGCTTTGTTGAATCCTCAGTTCTCTCTCACTTCTGAGCTCTGTTTCTTGTGATTAACAGACTGCTGTTTCACTTTAAATCATGTCACTCTGCAGGCTGGTCAATACTGTTGATTTCTAATCAGATTTAAAAGAGAATTTATCTTAATTTGAAGGGCACAAAGCTTCTGGTTACTGATTGGAGGCTGAACGGTACCCCTAATGTTTATTGTCTCATGTTTGTTTCTGCTTCTATGGTCTCAATCCTGCACATAATATTTCTCTTTTTCTCTTGAATAGTAGTAAGTCTTTCTGTATGACCTTTGTGATGACTGTCCTGAGTTTATTTTGGAGAAATACCTGATGATAAATAATGATGATGATGATATAATGAATAAGTTCTGTGGTTAATAATATCACTCGCATTGCATTGCATACAATATTCCTTCCCTTATCGTAGGCATTTGTCAAATAAAACAACATGACGTTAAACACTACCATGTGAAAATAGAGGTTAGAGGAAGAGGTGTTCTCTTGGTCACATGTTTCTTCCTTGCTTCTCCTCTTGTGTCTGCTCCCTGTCTTAATAGCCAAACTGGAAAACAGATTAAGGAGGCTTTCACATCAGGGGCCCAGATCAGAGTACACTTAAGCCCAAAGTCCAGTTTGTTTGATTAGTGTGAACACTATCAACAAACCACTTTTAAAGGTGTCTTCACATTCGCTGTGAAAACAACTGTATTAAAACCCAGAAATGGATTGCTGTTTAGAAAGTGAAATCATAAACTCTCATCATCGTTCACTTAATGAGCCGGCTTCCCACTGTTTTCTCTTCAGCGGTGCACTGATGTAATAGCTCCGCCTGATAATGAAAGTTAAACTTAAGTTCCGCCTGGCATCGTTTCCTTGCGTTACCTTACTTCATAATGTGTGCTCCCTTCTCTTCTTTTTAGTTTTAGTTTTAGCTCAACATTTGTTCAACATGAGCATGTTCAGTGAACGCACACACCACTGCCAGGCATGGCTGATAAGTTAGGAAGACAGGCAGGAGGGTCATTCTTGACAAAATATGAATAATAGTTGGCATAGGGGCTTGGGATCTTGTGATTGGCTGTTTTTTCTACATTGCAGCAACAACATAATGTCACATAGATGATGACGCAAATGTACTCAGGTACTGAACAACATGAGAAAGCTGAGTGGCAGGGGGGTGGACAGGGGGCAATCATACTCAAGCACAGTACGGAGCAATCGTAGCTAATATAAAAACACCCTAAAAGCCCTTTCTGAGCTCCACTTGTGAGATTTTATTCATGTTTTTTGTGAAAAGCACTAAAGCACCAAATCTAACCAAAGCTCAACTTTCTGGACATGAGGTAGATCCAATTAAAGCAGCACCTCTGCAAAATAATGCAATTCATCACAACAACAACAACACAAGCTAGAGACTCTAGAGTCTCAACAGTAAATGAACACTCGAAGCTTCACAGAAGTGATATTTAGGGCAGAGCTGTTGTGTTGGATTGCATCAGGTTTAGAGGTGTAAACACATACCCCTTCAAGAATCTGAAGTGCTTTTTGTACAGATGTCTTGGGGCAGTTAGTTTACGTAGCAAAGTTCTATTGTAAGGTCTTGGATGGCTTATTTTCTCCTCCACTGGATGATTGTTTTGTCACATGTTCACGGCAGCCAGTAACCCACTACTCTCTCTACTAAGGAAAACGAATGATTCCTTGTCTGCATTGACATTTTTATGATTCATCAATTAATCATCTCTTCAATAAAATACAATGGATGTAGCAAAGCTATCAGCCCATATATGTAGCTAACGTTTTCCCAGTTTTTGTTGTGACATCTCAACTTCTTTGCTTTTTTAAAGTAATAACACAGCTGTTTGGAGGTTTAATTGTTTTGCTGGTGTTAAGTATAAAGCCCTCTGAGACACACAACAAAGCTGTAAATGTATGAACTCCCAAACAGTCAAATAGCTCTATTGTACCAGAGATAGCTTCGAGCTAATTTACATCTTAAGTCTCTTGGCAGGCCTTTTAATTTACCACGATAGCCCTGATAACATTGCATTAGTGTTTCCATTATTGTGTCCACTCCACATATATAATCTTTGTGTTTGGAGTCTGCAGTGAAGGTACAGTTTGGGGTCTTTCACAGAATAACAATAGAGCAGCAGGTACACACACTGCTTGTGTCAGAGGAGGCGACGCAGCATCATATAAAGCAAGCTATGTGTTAATGGATTGTTAATGTGCTGTGTCTCTGTGTGGCAGTCACCTTGCTGCTACAGAGGGTGTTGAATCTGCTCGGCATGCATTCAACCTCCACTCCACACACACACACACACTCTCACACACTGCTGAGTTTTGCTTATTGTCTTACCTGGGGTTTACAATCTTGTTAACAGCAGCTCGGAGAATAGCAGCTAAATATCTGCGGCTGAGAGATAAACTGTCCTCTCTGCTCGTGACAGCAGGACATCACTTACAATACATCAAATAAAACAAATCTTTATGGAACATGTGTTGCCTTTAGTAATCACAGATTTATTTGCATTCAGCCACAGTTGTCACTACATTAAAAACTTTTGTTTGTTGATCGATCTTGCAGTTGGAGAAGCGGCCACCTCGAGAGTTTACAACAGCAATGTTTACAATTGCCACTCTGCCTTTATTATCCCATTTTTCTTTTGGGTTAACTTTACAGTTCTGTATATTGCCGTATAAAGTATTCTTCTCTACTGTGTCCTCTCTGACCTAGATGTCGACACTGGAGCAGGAAGGAGAGGAGGTTGTGGGACAAGCCCGATGTCCCTTCGAGTCCCGCCAGTCCAACGTCGGCCTGTTTGCAGGTGAGCGAGGCGGAATGACCCAGTGGTTGTAGAGACTGTCCTGAATTTAAAATGTCACAGTTTCAACTCCCACAGCTGCTGATCTGTGTCATTAGTCCTCTCAAAGCCTCCTTAAAGTCCCAGTAACATTTATACTTCAGGATTGTCTTGCATGTTTAAAAGGATTTTAATAGTTGAGCCAGTCAAGACCACATTTGAGAAGATAGTCTTAAATTTCAGCACTGAGAACTTTTTTTAATTCTCTCATAGGGCATTATTTTAAAAACTATATGCACGTCACATATTTCCTGAACATTTTCAGATGCCTGTTCTACTGTTTTAAATGAGTTTTTCTCCTTATTCCAGGCAGGATTTTAGTTTCCATAAATCTTTTTGTCGATTTGACTTTATTCTCATGTCTCAATTCAGTTTGAATGCAGATTGATTTGTGAGGATTTGACATGACCCTATAATGAGAATGTAACTTTGATGCAGACTTAATGTTCACTGTCATGGATTACATTACTGAAGCAAGTATCAAGAGTCTGATTATTGATTTTTAAATTGTACAGAAATGAATGGAAACCAGTGGTTGCCTGGAAGGGTTGATGAAAAGCACGGTGTCCCAATAGTCAGCTGTGATATTAAGAACACATTATTTGTACTGAATTAAACATTTAAATGTACTATTTGCTTTATCTCAGACATGTCATCATTGAATACAAATATGCATGACAAAAGAAGAAAATTCTATTCAAGAATATAAAGATTAAAAATATAATAATATACTAAACTACATGTAAACTTCTACTCCATCCTTCCTACTGTAGTGTGTCTGGATGAATGTGATTCAGTATCAATGCATGAATCATTGCAGGGTGTAATCTGATTTTGCCCCTTAATGAATTCTGATTTGTGGTTAGATTTTCTTCACTAATCATAGCAGTGAAGGAAGCTGATACTTTGTGAACATGTTGGGGTCAAGTTCAGGGAGGAGTGAAGGGAGAGCCAGACTTGCACTCAATCCTGCCAGGTTTCCACTGACATTTATGCAAAGTTCACACGGGGTGTTATTAAAAGTGACGCATTCTCCAACATGTTTTATCCTCTGCCTCCTTTTAAAGGGCAATAAAAGTCACCTGTGACCAAAATAGACACTTGAAAGAAGTTATTTTTGGGAATTGTGATCCCTGACAATGTATGTCAATTATTATAATTATTATTTTTCTCGTTTTCTCAGGTGGTGATTTCTACTCGGCCACTATGACAGACTTCCTGGCGAGCGATGCAGTGATTTACCGCAGTCTGGGAGAAAGTAGCCCTGTTCTGCGTACTGTCAAGTATGACTCCAAATGGTTGCGAGGTGAGCATCGAGCATGTGTCAAGGTGTAATATTTAGCACATTAACATACACTTGTGGCACGCTTATTTCTCTGATATGTCAACATCTAAATGACTAGGGTTGGGTTCTGATAGCTGGCTCTATCTTGGATTAGACTCCAGTGATTCACTGAGCTCTGGGGATAACAAATCTCTCTTCAAATCTAGTATCTCTTCTCACCCTTTGGCACAACACATTCAGGTAGCAGGCTTCTCATTTTTAGCTGGCACTCCCCGTCACAGATTATATCAGATGTGAATGATTATTATTAATTCCATAAGTAACTTGGCTCATTTCCAGTTTCTGTGTTTTTTTGCAATTTGGTGTCTGAAATGATCTGATTGCATCAGGTAGGCCTGGAACTAACAATTACTTTTGTTATCTACTAATTGCCAATTATTTTTTTGATTAATCGATCATCACCATACAAGAGTTATCTTCCTGGTCCACATCCTCAGGAATCCTCAGTTGTGTCGTCCCTTTCAGTATTTAATTTCCCCTAATTGCAACACATACATAGTGTCTTCTATCCCCTTTTCGAAGCTCGGTGGAGACTATTGTCTCCAGCAGAGAAGAATTAGCCTTCTAGCAAAGGAGCCAGTCAGTTAACCAATTATCATAATTGTTGCTGATTCATTTTCTGTTGCTTTATTAATCAACTAATCCTTTCAGATGTACTTTTATGCATATAGATATTATAATAATATCTTAAGCTCATAGACTAATAGTCCTGAATAGGAAGCTCCAGTATTTGGAGCAAGCAGCTTATGAAAAGAAAGGAATGTAAATGTACAACTATGGTGTAATATAAAATACTGTATATCAATCCATACATTACATACATTATATATAATCAACATTTCATATTTTGCGTTTCTCATCTCAAGTCAAGGGATTTTTTTTCTTCATACAGCCCAATATCACAGATCACAGTTTGCCTCAGGGTCTGCCTTGTATGGCAAATCACACCTTCTGTCCTTAAACCCTCAATCCAGAAAAACTGCCCCAAAATATCCTGCAACAGGGGAAAAATAGAAAAAACCTCAGAAAAATAGCAATAACCACAGAAACCACATGCAATACATGTCGTCTCATCTAATTGTCAGTTTTAGAACATTGCACACATGTTTCTCAACCCACAAACATTGATTATCGATCTCAACTGAATCTTCAGGTTTTAGGCATTTATACCTTTAGTTGGATTCGATTCTGTATTCACATTTTATAAAATACTACTATGAACTGCAACACTGTAAATTACTGAATTTTATCAGTGCCGATCCAGCACCAGCTGTGCTGTTTCAATAAAATGAATGTTATCTCTGTATTGTAAGTTTGTTCCTACTCATTTTTCTGTCCTTAAATTCAGATTTGCTATCTTGCTCTCCCTGCATTTCTCTTGGACCCATTTTCCAAATTGAGCATCTGTGTTTACCAGCTCCTTTCGCCGCCTGCTCACAATGGTCTGTCATGTTGGAAATAAGGCATCACTGCCAGCGTGTTTGTCACATGTCTTTTCTTCTCGTCTCCCACAGAGCCCCATTTCCTCCACGCTATTGAGTACGGGAACTATGTGTACTTTTTCTTCAGCGAGATCGCAGTGGAGTACACCACTCTTGGCAAGGTGAGGGACAGACACTTGCCACACTTGTGGTTTGTGGCGTCTGTGCTTTTGTTTCTGAGTGGAATGAAGTAGAACAACATCATCACTTCCCATGCAAACAACGTGCCAACACAATTTTTTTTCCGCTGTTGAATATTCCATGTTGGCTCTGCCTGAGGTTGTTGTGATAAACAGTGTGATTTATAAATTAGAGTCGTCACCTGTAAGGGATTTTCCCTCCTCTTGCCTCAGGTGGTCTTCTCCAGAGTCGCACGTGTTTGCAAGAATGACAACGGGGGTTCTCCGAGGGTGCTGGAACGTTACTGGACGTCGTTCCTCAAAGCCCGACTGAACTGCTCTGTACCGGGTGACTCCTTCTTCTACTTTGATGTTCTACAGTCGCTGACAAACGTGCTGCAGATCAACCACCGGCCTGCCGTGCTTGGCGTCTTCACCACACAGGCAAACAGGTTGGGATCAGTCTCATTGTCTCTAACATTTAGTGTTTGGTTTTGTGGCAGAGATGAGGTGAAGTCAAGACATTTATTACTACATGGTAACAGTTTGGTTTATTTTCTGATTTGTGTTTTATAATAGATTAAAGAGTAACTTAATACAAAATTAGCTTTTTTGAATCCAGTAATTCTAGATCCAAAACATTTTGGAGAAAAATCTTGACCTTACACAATCAGTTGATTAATTGATTAATCGATTGACAGAAGATTTCTCAGCAACAGTGTTGATAATTGATTAATCATTCTTCTTCTTCTTCTTAAATATGAATATGAAATTTTGTTTCTTGGTGTTTTATGATATTAAACAAAATAAATTTGGGCTTTACTTGGTTGGACAAAACAAACCAGCTGAGTGCCAGCTGAAATTGTGATAGGATTTTTTTCATTTCAGACATTTTGTGGGCTAAACAACATTTGATAGATTGAGAAAGCAATTGGCAGATTAATCTATGATGAAAATAATTGTTCTTGCAATCCTAGAAAAAGGGGTGGCGTTGCCTTATACCCATTAGTAGTTGTAAATCATTTGTAAGCTAATAGTTCAGTGTTAGGGACACATTTATTTCCCCTGTCTCTCTCCACTGCTTCTGCTGAATCTGCTGGAACATCGCTAAGCTACCAGTTCCCACACAAGAAGAGCTCTGAACCGTCTTGGCTGTCAGTTGAGGTTAAGAGCTGGAGGAACTGTAGTCACTGCTGTCCATGGCAGCCGCCTAAAAAAGACTCGGTGGGTGTCATGAGCGAAACGTGAGCCATTAAGAAACCAGTTAGTATGTTACTACGGCTCTGTGACTTCTCAGTGACCACCAGCTCATGTCAGCTCCTTTAACAAATTAAAAAACTGCATACACAAAGAGTTGAGCCCTGTCTTCCAACATCATATAGAGTAGTTAAATCGAAAATAATCTATACATACACTTTATAAATAGCATATTTACAATGATAAATATGGATATTAGGATAAATAAAGTCATATTTTCATGTACATGAGACAGCCCGTCAGTATATGCTAAATTCACCTTAATAAAAAGACAGGGGTTGTGCCAGACTTGGACAAGGTGCTGAATCCCAGACCTTTGTCTCGCTCTTTGTAATGTCGTCTTCCTTTGTGGCCCCTTCAACAGCATCACTGGCTCGGCAGTCTGTGCTTTCTACATGGACGACATAGAGAAGGCCTTCAGTGGCAAATTTAAAGAGCAGAGGAACAGTGAGTCGGCGTGGACACCTGTTCCCGAGGAGCAGGTCCCAAAACCAAGGTAAGAGGCACATCTTTAAATAGCAAACTGTCACTTTCCAAGAACATGTTTTTCTACCTCTGACAATGGAGTTCTTGCAGCTGCTGCTGTTATTGTTCTGCACAGACATCTCTGAACAAAAAAACAAGCCGTCACACAAGACACCTGTTTTTCCCTTCTCCTTGTCCCCAAAAACAAACAGCTGCCAGTGTTTTTACATCTTTGGCCGCAGAATTTGCATTCACTCCTGATATTCTTTTTCTCTTCTGCCGCTGTACAGACCGGGATGCTGCGCCGGTGAGGGCTCAGCGGCCGCCTACAAGTCATCCACCACCTTCCCCGATGACACCCTGACTTTCATCAAGTCGTACCCACTCATGGACGAGTCCGTTCCCTCAGTCAACGACAGACCCTACTTCACCCGTACCACAAGCAGGTACGGGACTTGGCTAATGAAACATGAAAAAATTATGGAATAGATTTCATTAACAATGCTGGATAAAGTCTTACTGACTGAAGCGTAGCATGGAAAGGTTTGTGACTTGAGAGGGAACCAAAGAGACCCAGCGCATTGGAGGTCGCCTGTACCTATCTCCAGCGTTTCCGTATTTAGACTTTAGGTCTAAGGGTAAAATTGGAATAGTCAAACAGCCAGGAAAGTGTCCACCAAGAGGACACCAGCACCACCTAGCATCCACACATATCAAGGTCAATGAGCTGATATTTTAGCATATTAAAAATGACTAACATACTGTACAGTGCGGAAACATTCAACAGGGTCCAGCTTTTCTCTGTTTTATATATAAGCAAGCAGAACTGAAGCCAGTTATTTTCTTATTAAATATTAATAAGATAAATAGAAGAATCGTTTTGTCTAAAAAACTTCTGAATAAATGTGAAAATGCCAGAATTTAACCTGTTTTTGTCCAAAACCCCAAAATACTCCGTTTACAAACATAAAACAGAGAAAAGCATGTTTGGTGTTTTTGCTAGATAATATTAATTAAGTTTCAATTAAAGTTATCAAAATGTGGATTCATTTTGCAGAATTCGTGCTGATCATCTAAACAATTAATTAATTGTTTCAACTCAAATGATATTTTCACATCTATTCCTGAGTTTGAAATACCTCATTGTAATTCACAATCAGAAATCTGTTGGGCTAAATGTGTCCTACATGTAACTGAATTAAATTAGTAAACCACCTTACACATCATAAATCATTAAAATACATGCAGAGCTCTTGTTCAGATGCTCAGTTGGTTACTTTGAGAACATCTCCATTGACTTAAATTAAAAACATAACCACTAGCTAGATGTCAGTGTTATAAAACAGGCCTTCAAGAGAAAATACCAGGGTCTTTTCTTTAATGTTAGTATGCAGGTATTATTTTCCATTTTCAATAGCAACATAATGTACCGGCAGTGTTTCCACACTCCAGGCTGTGATTGGTATCGATGAGTGAGCTCAGGTGGAACACACAACCTTGTCCCTCATTAAAACTCATCGAATTTGTTCAGCGGTCGATCTCGGCCCACATCAAAGATGAGCCGCACGGGGAGGGGGTCTTCCTCGAGCACTGACCCGAGCTGCAAACTCCTCTGCAGCTCCCATCGAAGCAAGGAAGTCACTGTGTGTGTGTGCGTGTGTGTGCGTGTGTGTTGTGACATTTGCGGATCCACTGATGTCAGATGATGATGGGGTGAATGTTGAATTGTTAAGTGTCACAAGTGTTTCAGACAGCACCGCATAAACCTCAGACATGGATGTACATGCAGCAGATACACATCACAGATTCTTAGCCTTAGACACACACTCACAGACAATATACATGAGCCTCCTCCATGCCTCCTGAAGCAGAGCCAGGCTGACAGCCAGCCAGACACTGCAGCGGCTCCACACTGGGGAAACATGCGCCGCTTCGCATCTGGCACCAAAAACATCACATCTGCCTCGCCTCTCCCCAGAGAGGAGTTAGATAAATGAAATCTAACCAGAAGCGCATCACGCAATAGTACCAAGTCATTGTGGGGACGTGCCCGTCAAGTCCATGTGGGTAAACCCACCAGTCTCCTTGGGACCATCTGGGAGAGACGGAGGGAGAAGTGAGGGCACCGGAGCCGCCACTTTTATATAGAAGAATCTAGAAGGGATGTGAGTGCTTAAAAAATTAGTAGAAGTTTGTTTGTTCGAATCCCAGGGCCAGAGAGGGGAAATGCAGGCAGATAAAATGAATGAGTAAAGCTTATCCCTCTGTCAACAACCACTGGACTGAAGGTGCCCTTCAGCACAGCTCTTAATCCTCAACTGCTCCAGTGGAGCCAGCAGCAGACGACTATGGTGATACTGGGCAACTCCCAGGTGTGACTGTGTGGAGCTAGATGAATATGAAGTAGGGCGGTGCTCCAAATAAAACAACAGTTCACTGGACTTCTCATAAATACAGACAAAAAACAGAAAACTGGGACTCAAAAGGAGACTGCAGTGTGTTGAGGAAAGTTGCTAAACAACAGGATGGATCGATTGAATTGCTGTGGGTGGATTTATAGATGGCTAGATGAATTAATAGGATGAAGGGATTAAAGTATGTAGGCGCTGGAAGAAGGGAATGGTGGGTTGGTAGATGAAGTGATTGATTGCACACTGATGCTTAATACAATGAGCTCAGTATTCGCCCACTGTTTGTTTTGTTTACCATGGGAAATCGACTTTGACAAAACAAAACAACAATGTTAAGATGCTAACCAGCACATTTGCCATTGTTGGCTCCCTCTAATTTACGTCACTTTGAAGTGAAGTGACAGCTTCGATTTAGATGAGCTTTTCTATCGAGCGCTTACTTTAAGTCAGTGAGTGTGTTTATATTGTATCTTTTCCACAAATACAGTAATACTTTTAATACAGTGCATCTTTCTTTTTGTTTTCTATGCAGATTCAAGTTGACCCAGATAGCGGTGGACACGTCTGCAGGGCCGTATAAGAACTACACAGTGGTATTTCTGGGCTCAGACAACGGCCATGTGCTGAAGATCCTGGCCAGCACCGAGGGAGCCAACGCATCCTTCAGCACCCAACTCCTGGAGGACATTGACGTCTACAACCCAAACAAGTCAGACAATCTGTGTTTTCTATTTACATGTTGATATTTTTCGGTGTCTGTTCTGTTTTTCCTTAATTGTTTTCTAGCTGTTTCTTTATTTGGTATCTTTCTTTCTCTTTCTCTTCACTTTAGCCTTTTCTCCTCCTTTCTGTGTTCTGCTTTGATCTGTCCTGCCCACCCACTCTTGGTCTATTGTAATACTTTGCATCACCCTGTACAGCTAGAAGGGGTGCTTTTTCTTCTGTGTCTTCTTTGTTTTCTGACTGCACATCTTGTGAAGTCAATCTGCATGGAGTTCGATTCACAGCCGGCTTTCTGTATAATTTTCAGACTGTGCCAGTCGTCTACAGTGCTGATTTAAAAATGAAACAAAATCGAAAGTGTGTGATCTTGACAGTTGGTGTTTTTCTGTGTTCCTAGATGCAACGTGCAGGCGGAGGACAGGAGGGTGCTGGGTCTCGAGTTGGATCGGGATCATCATGCGTTGTTCGTGGCATTCTCCAGCTGTGTGATCCGTGTGCCGCTGAGCCGCTGCTCTGACTACAGCACCTGCAAGAAGTAAGTCACCTGTAGAGCAAAGCTTTTCCTCTGCCACACTGGGGTTGTATACCCTTGTGCTGAAACAATTAGTTGATTAAGCAATTACTTGATTAGCAACTGAACACCTCTAAATCTGCCAGAAAATTGTGGATTGCCCTCCTCAGGTTGTATCTTGTGTTCATGATTGACGGTAAAGCGGGGTAAAAGGGTGAAGCTATCAATTTACCAGTCGATCTACGTTCCAGCCCTCACATATGGCCATAAGTTTGGTTAGTCACCTTCAGGATATCCGAAGAGGCTTGAAGTAGAACCACTGCTAATTCCTGTTGAATAGAGTCAGTTTAGGTGGTTTAGCATCTAATCAGCATGCCTCCTGGATGCTGGGGACCCCAGGGCAGACCCAGAATACACTAGAAGTATTATAGCCACCATCTGGCCTGGGAACATCTCAGAATCCCCCAGGAGAAGCTGAAGGATGTAGCAGTTACCTCACGTAGCTTGCTGCCACTGCAACCTGAAAATATATAAGCATTCTGTTTCAAGAAGATTAGTGATGGCCAGTCAAGTTGATTGTAAAATAAGATTGAAAGGGGGACAAAACCCCATCAAAACCCAGAAAAATTGATCAGGTAGAGCTTTCACAGTACAATACACATTTGTGTATTCCAGTCTGTGTCTGTCATACCAGCTTGATCATCACTGAAAATGTCCTGGAAAAATCTTGGAAAATGTCTCTCTAGTAAAGAGTGGGAACCCTGAAATATCTTGTCACATGTAAAATAAATGTGTTCCTGTAGAATTACCTGCAGGAGATCTGAGAACAAATTAAGCAAAGGTTGCACAAAAGGTGGAAAAAATATCTTTGGAAAATGCAGGAAATTTGTCAAAAGTCATAGAAAGAAAATTAGTCAGAGATCTAGGAAAGTCTCAAAACCAGCCTGAAGACTGAGACCACTCTCAGTGCTGCAGCCCAGAAATGGTGCATGAATGTATGGTTTTCTCCCTGTGTACCGGGGAGAGATGGTACTAACACTGCCAGGTAACTCAAGTAAAGCAGGATCAATTTCCTCTGAAACTACCAATTTAAGAAATGTGTCCACTCATGATGCTGTCAGAGGCTTCTGGACAAAAGCCTACCAAATAGCAGATGTTATGCTATTATCTGCCTGGTTCATGGAGTTGGTTGGGCCCACTTTCCCCAAAAAGCACTCTGAGGTTATTTGTGTTGTTGGCAGGTAAGTGAGAGTAAGATTAAACTGAGCAGCAGGGAAGTATGGTGTGGCTGCCATGTAAGAAATGCTGTGGTTAGAGGCATGGTTCAACATTTCTATAAGCTGATTCTGATCTGATTCCTGTCTGCCTGCCTCCACAGCTGCAGACAAGAAGTGTTTTTAGTGTTCAATTTTTGATAATAATAGTTTCATATAGGATCCTTGGGGTTTACAGTTGGCACGTTAACTGGTGAGCTCTGGAATTAAAGGTCCAGTGTGTAACATTGAGGAGGATCTATTAGCAGAAAAATTATGTAATATAATATGATATTCATAGGTCTGTGTTCATTAGTGTATAATGAATATAAGAATCGTGTCCTTGTTACCTTAGAATGAGCTGTTTTTATCTAAAGAGGGAGCGGGTCCTCTTCCACAGAGTCCACCATTTTGAAGTGACTTTCTACAGTAGCCTAGATCAGACAAAACAAACACTGGCTCTATTGCGTTTTTGCGAGTTTCGTGACCACCATACTTTCTCCAACATGCTTGGAAGGCTGAGCTGTATTCAGATGGTTGCAATCTTTGACTTCACCACTAGATGCCTACATCTAAATCCTACACAATGGTCCTTTAGCAGAGGAATATTCTTTTGAAATAGAAATAAAAATGCCCCAAATCCTTATTTTCAAATGTAAGAATTTGCTTGGAGAAATGTGGTTACACAGAAAATCAGACACATTTACATACACTACTGTAACCTGGTTACTATAAATGTGTGTCTACATGAAGCAGGTCAGTAATTGGATTCCTCCAATACCCCAGACTTATTTTGAAACCATTGTTAATTTCAGTTTTAGTCTGCCTATGTATGGAATTATTCTGCATTCAAGGACACATCGCTGCATGCAATTATCTCCTCTTATCCAGCTGCTCTGCTGTTACAGTGATACTTTCCGTTAGAAGTCTCTAACGCACACACTCTGTAATGGGCACCTTTTGCTACTTTTGTACATTATACCGAATGCATAATAAATGACTTACAATTTTTAAAAATAGCTATAATAACACAGTCATATTCAGTATGATCATCAACTTATCGCCTCATAAACACAGTTGCCATACATCACTGTCTGGTGTAAATGGTACAAAATGGAACCTTGAAAGTGCTGCTGTCAAGAGGCTGACATTGCTTTTAGAACAAGTTTATGAGCTGAGCACAGCAGAGCCTTCGAGCGTCTCTCTCTGTCTACAGTCTTTTGTTTTGTCAGGCGATGTTTTAGCCTCAGTTAATGTACTTGCTCCCCAGCTTCGGGATCTATTTTTGGGGGCTGTGAGGAATGTTGGCCCCATGTATCTCCCCCCTTTTCTCAACCCCCTCAACCGAGAGGAGGGATTTCTCCTTAGCAGCACCAGGGAATACATATACCCCCATAGCATGCTAACCCCTCATTGCAAAGGCCTGGAGAAGCTCTCAACATCGTTTAGTCATAAATTGGATCCAGCTGATTGGCCGGGAGCCAGCTATGGTGGCCGCCATGTTTTTTTCTGAAGCTGGAGGAGAGAGAAGAGGAAAAGAAGGAATAGAAAGAAAGCTTATGGTCCAGCTACATCCTCTGATCCTTTTTAGAGACTAAAGCTACAGCACACCTCATCCTGGGATTAGGGGCCCCGTAAGCCTCATCAGCACTGGCCAGGAGGTCAGGTTTCAGCTGCCATATCCTCCTTCATCACACCGATGAATCAGTCTCCCTCCAGATGAGATTTACCCCATCCCTCTGTTTTCTGCCTCCATTTTCTCTCAGTCTCTGCATTTCTCTCACTCTTGGCTTGTTTCTCTCTCTCGCCCTCCCTCACTGCATCGTCAGGTTTCTTTTTTCACTCGAGGCCCTGCTGCCAATATTAGGTTTCAGAGAATGTTCTGTTTTCAAGAGCGGCTAGGAACTGTATGAAATGGGAGTTTTAATAAAAAAATACAATAAAAGGGCAGAAAAGGCCCCAAACCCTGAAATTCTGTAGATTCAGGGATTTTGAGCTGCAGTGGATATTTCCCTTTTTATATTAAATTAATAACTGCTTCAAGAGAAAAAAGAATTATGTTATTTTTACTGTCACCTATAAAAAGTACTGTTGATACTGAAGATTTAAGGCATCTATGCCTTATAGGATCATTCTGGTTTTTGGTGGTTATGATGATAATGTACCTATTTAAGTACGGTAATCCCTGAAACTGGGATATCACTGCGATAAAGTACGAAACAGCAAAGACACACAACCACCCAGACCAAAAAACAGGGTTGAAAGCGTTTTACCAATTATGTAAATAATTCAACAAGTTCTCCAAAGAAACAAGTTTTTTAAAGCACTTTGTGATTTGACACCGATTTGGTTATGGGTTTGGTGTAGGTGTAAAAATGTCTTGGTTACAACTACAGGAAAGCGCAGTTTGTGTTAACATACCTACTTGTTTAAGGTTAGGCAGTAATCTATGTATTGTAAATAGAAACCAATACATTGCTGTTGGTAAGAAACGAAATGAGAAATGAACAGCAATCTCTTGTGTCAAAGATGTACATTTTGTGGACCCATCCCTCCACCCTGACCCCCTCCTCTGTCAACTTTGTGGCTCGACATCAACTACAATTACTCATGTTTCTTCTGTTGCTGTTAGCACATCGATACGATTAACTTGGTAACGACAATGATATTATTAGCTATATAAATAATGTAGCATAGCAGTATTAAATCGCCTATCTACTTAAAATTATTGTTAATAAGTTTATTTTATATTTCTAAGATGGCTTCTTTGTGTTAAGTTGTTCACTAGCAGCGTCATCTTAGCTAAAAAACGGTTCCAGCAAGGACTATGTTACTCCCAGGATATTGGCTAAATGACAGCTGGAAGTTATGAGTTTCAGCCTCAGAAGCTTTATAAATCCCTTTCTCCTCTCAGCAGCTAATGGATGTTCCTTACTCACTGTGGCTGCAGGCAAACATACACACCTATCTGTTCATCATAGCATGACAGAATGTGAGCAAGGGTGCAGAAAAGAAGTCTGAAATTTTAAAGAGTGACAAGGGACACACACAAACTCACATCGTATATAAACTGCAAATATGAGAACAATGTCAGACAAAGAACAAATGACTTACCAAAAACCACAGCTGGACACGACTGGCCTCTTTTCCCATAGTGCTTCAGTGTGGAGTTTCATTCTTGTCATGTAACTGTATTCTGTGATGGAGAGGAGGAGAGAGAGGCAGAATGGGGGCATAGATGCATATATACCTTATGGCAAGTGAATGAATAATGTATTAAAGCTGCAGTGTCACATACTGGCAGCCATACATGGGGGCGAGAGTCATTTTAGGACCTCTATGTCCAGAGGTCCTGCATCAGTCTGTGAGGCTCTGAGAACAAAGAAAAAAAGCAGTTCAGAGGTTGTTGTTTTTTTAGCTGTGTTTTGGGGGGAGGTAGGAAAAAAAGTTTGTATTTTACTCTGAAATTTGGATTCTCCCACTTTCATTGCATGTCAATTTAGTTTGTACAGATACAAGCAAAATACAGACAGGAACACAATTTAATACAGTAGTTCAGCAGTAAAAGGCAGTTAAGTGAAGCTCACAATGTTTAGTTTTTAATTGACTAGAACCATCGATTCAACTCAGCGGTCATTTTAAAAGCCTTTGTTTTTATTGTTGTTGGGTAAATGTTCCATTAAGTACCTCATACCAGAACTTGTTGTCCCTGCTGCATTACAGACTGTGTAACAACATTAAAGAATTCTGCAAAATTGTACACTTCAGACACAAATCAGATGAACTTAGACTATTGACTTTTGATGTGAAATGACTTGAGCCCTTAGATTTGGGTATTTCATGTGTTTTCATGTCTCTCTCATGATGTTTTTATGATGTGTATATTGTTTGCTGTGCCCTCACAGCACAAATCAGTCACATTTTGGGATAATAAAGCTAATCAGTCAATCAATTCTATTGACAGCTGTGAAACTGGCGGCAAAAAATGTGTCTATACCAGCATCGCTAACACAGACCCAAAGACGCCTCGCATGATATTTTATGAGCCACAAAGCCACTGTTGAGTTGAACAAACACTTCTTGACGGTCTCAAAAAAAACAAACTTTATGAAGTTCACTAAATCTGTATGAACTGCAGGGTATTTTCATTATTATAGAGACTGTCCTCCAAAGAAAAACAGCAGCATCAGTTGTTTGTGAAATTGCTGTAAGCGATCTCTGTATGTTTATATCTGTTTGACAATGCCAGTGAATCATGGCTGTTGTCTGAGGAGGAAAGGCAGAAGAAGAACCGGGTGGTCGGAATGTATGGCTGGGTCAACATGCGTCAGACTTTGACATGAAAATTGCCATTTTGGAACGCACTGACAAATGACGTGTGCCGATAAGGGCGTGAGAGCCCAAAACGCTCACATGGATTGTTCTGGAAGGCAATGATGTATTTTGCCATTTTGGAGGGTGTGTTGTTGGTATAAGCTGTCCCGTTTATTTCATGCATCTTCAGATCGGGTGTTGGCTGGTGTTCTAATTATTGCTATACTTGTTTCTATAAAAAAACAAGTGAAAAGAATGCTTCCATACATACAGTGTGTGTGGAACACTTTGCATGCATTTATACTCAGTTCCCAGCTGCAGATGTGGTGTAGGTAATAGTTTGTGTTGATTTCCTTCTGTTCTGTTAGAGCGACACACTGATGTGCTCTCTGCGGGATTTCTCTGTAATGTTTACAGACTGAGGGTGAAGGTGGTGTAACACCTGCACACCGTTTAGATAGTTGTACATAATTTTAGATATTTAAAACAGGTCACAGGAGTCCTCATTAAAACTCATTAAAACTTGTACTTGACTGCCGTAAAGGATTTGGTTTGACAGCGGCACCACCAGCTACCTGCAGATGTTTTTTTTTTTCTGTTTGTTTGTTACTCAGCAGAACAGGCTAAAAGAATCACTGAAGTGACTGTAGATTGGCAGCAGGTAAACATTACTGTTGTTTGTTGTCAGTCTTTTGTCAATGTGTGCTTTATGCTCATTATGATGGTGCTGCTGGGAGAATACCACAGACCTGCAAAGAGAAGGTTTTGCAGCGGTGAAAAATATTGGTAATTCTCTCACTGACAACTGGTGTTGTTTTTGTAATTACACAGTGGCAGATAAAGAGCAAAAGGATCATGCAACTCATTCCAGAGTGCAGGATTTAAAAACTGTAGACTTAAATCAAACATGAGGCAGAGAGACTGACAGCTGATCAGCCGAAGAGTTTAATCAACAGAACTGACATTTGTGGGTCTCAAAATGGAGGAAATGTACTGAACGCTGTGATTCTGCTGGGATTTTATACTGTAGGGAATGTCACTAATTGCTGCTGATGGTGGTTAATGCTGACTTCCTCGAATGGAAGAAGTAAACAGTTCCAAGTACACTGTTATTTGCTTAATCACAAAAACACACATGCATACTGTAAGTAGGAGCAGGTGATTGACTCGTCTGCTGACCGCTAACATGAGACTGGGACAGTGCTGGCTGTTGACTCAGAATAAGGTCATTCATGGTTAGTCAGTATGACTGCACTGGAAACTTAAAGTGATGATGGCCTGAGTGACCTGCAGTGATCCCTACTCAAAGGTACAGTTCAAATGTTAATGAGTTGAACGATAGTCCAAACAAAAAAGGATACACAATTATCAAAATTATTGAGAAATCTTTTAAAGGCTTGACTAACACCAGTGAGCATATAAGTCAAAGTTGTTATAATTAAGTTATTATTAAAGAGTGAGTTTCTCTTTATTTATGTACCCTGTTTTAGCTTGAATGCCCCCCTTCACATATTCAAACATTTCAAACTTATATTACTTAATCTATAATCTTTGAAACACAGTTTTATATTGTATGTCTTGATTGGGGTGTTACTCAGAGAGTGACGTTGCCTTGTTGTGGCGTCGAGTACAAGGCAAAATCATGTATGTATAGATAGATTAGATAGATTAAGATACGATTTAGCCAATAGGATACTAGATAGCATCACTAGAAGTCAGATAGATAGATTAAATAGAATGGATGCGATAGATAGTAGAGATAAGATAGATAGATAGATAGATAGTTTGTTTTATTTGGACTAGAGGGAAGCATCAGTTGTTTGTAAAGACCTCCTGTTGCAATGGACACATATAGACTGAGACTAGAATCTATTGATACTGAGTTATCAAAGGATTTGATGTTTAATTGATTAACTAAAACAGTGGATTTTTCTTCTGATGCTGTTGATGCTGTTTATTTACATCAGTTTTTTTTTGTTATTTTAACACAAAAGCAGAACGGGCCTATTTTCTTCAATTATTATCAACTGAGAAACACAAAGTGCAGAATTGAGTTAAGCTCTTCAAATATCTGCTAGTAAATACTTTAAATGGTCAAAACAATTATGGATTGGGACTTTAAAGCCTGTGAGAGATGCAGGAGGGTACAAAACAAACTAATAAAAAAAAATGTATTCTCTTCTATTGAATAAGAAAACAAACACAAGTGCTAACTCTCATCAAAAGCTAATCTGATTGCAATCTTCCCCCTCTGTCTTTTTATATGATCATCTGGATTCATCACTATGATGTTGGCTATATTTGTTAGTCAATGTTTGGGATTGTTAGCAAACATAACTAATTACATATTTTATTCATAAAAACACTGCAGATACTATGATTTGTAAAATGCCAAGCATGTGTTAGCATCCAGTCAAAGATTTAACAATTTTATTTAAATGCCATTAAACTGTGTAAACATACCAGTTTATTTGAATAAAAACAAGCTCATGGGAGTTAGATGAGGAGTCACAATAATAATAATAAACGATAATTTTGTTTTGTCAGAGATGCTCGGTGATAACTATTTGTGCAACTTCTCTCCACGCTTATGGAAATGCAGCGTTTTCAAATTCGATTTACTGTTTTATTTCTTGGTTGTCTTTGCTTCCTGGGACATTTTCAGTCACACAGTTCACACCGCACTATGCATGAAGCTCATTTCTCCACTCCGTGTTCGGGCAGAGCTGAGGAAAGTGATGAGTGTTTTTAGGTTGATGGCAGCGTAGTTCCTCACCCCTCAGCTAACGGCTCCTGGCTGAGTGTTCTTCACACCCGCTGCTCTCCACAATTACTTCCATTACTGACCGCCTGTCTGTCTCTGTTTGTTGTGCAGAAGCTGCCTGTCTTCACGGGACCCGTACTGCATTTGGCTCAAGTCAGGAAGCTGTGCCACAGTCTCACCTGGCTTCAAGTAAGTCACACACACACACACAACCACCACACACACACACACAATTGGTAATGACACCCAGTTTATAGTTATTAAAGGGGAGAGCTTACAAATGTCACCGCAGCCATCATTACAGCCATCACTGCTGAATGAATGTTGACTTTGAAATCGGGAAAAGTGCATGCTCAAAAATTGCCTGTCACATCGATTCTTCCTAATGTGGTGCACTCAAGTATGGATATATTATTAGAAGATTTTGTCAGTTTTTACTGTTCTGACTCAAGCATTTAAAATGAATTGCAATCCACACAGGGTCTCAATTACAAACATTTCTATCAATTCTAAAGTTGTCAAACATCATTCAAAGAACTATGCTCGGGTCTGCAGTTGGTGGCTGCACTGTAGTAATTGTTTGATCCAATGAAATGTAGTGCAGTAAATCCCAAACAAACTCAGGAATAATGTCCGACAGCTAAGTATCTACATTCTCACTTCACTGAGTCACTGGTGCCAAAGGCTGTATGCATTATACAAAGTCATTGGTGTGTCTGTAGTGAGGGAACTTTTAATAAACTGATTATTGTGTGAAGATGACAAATAATAATATGACAAACTTTGGGTGTGGAGGATTGCACTTATAAACCAGAAATTTTAGACATGCTAAATTGAAAATGGTGAATCACAAACACATGCTGTGCATCCAAATATTGTTCAACTTTATTTTAAATTTTTGTGTATATAACAATGCACAAGACATCTAAAATATTTCTATTGATGGAAAAGTCTTTGGTTTGAATGTTTGGAGCAAGCAGATACAGAAAACTAAATATGTGACAGTGTCAGACTGGGAGGAGTTTTCCAACCTTAAAGAGGAGAAACTGGATGTTAAGGGATTAATTATCTTGTCGGGTCTCCAAAATCCCAAACTGTTCACCACAGAGGCCAGAAAAGTGTTGCTGCTCTGCTCACTGGCATCAAATATTTTTGTCGATGTTGCTCCTCTGGTCACAGTTTTTCTTTGAGAGCTCAACACCTGCTTTAACATCACTGGTTGGGGCGTAGCAAGAAGTGCAGCATGCTTCAAACCTTCAGCCCATTAACGTTGCAGAAGCAATTTTCTGCCCGATGTGATTCATTGTTGATTCCCCCTTTAACACAGAGGTCTCCAATCATGAACCACCAAGGGACAAAAGTGTGCTGATTTGCTTTTTAATCAAAACACTCCAGCAGGAGGTTTCAGCTGGTAATTCTTCTCTGGATGAAGTTGTACTAATTAGTGAGATCAGCCACTGTGGTGTTTGGTCAGTCTGGAAGCACATGGGTGGACACAGCTATATAAAGACATTATTAGTTCTCTAACTCACAGTCACAGCGGACAGATTTGTAAATTAGTCAATAATGTGTAGCCAAGCAGCCACAGAAGCAATAATCTTCATATCTCCTCTCGCTCCTCAAGTGAGTTGTTCAGCTCTGTGCACATCAGCTGGACCTGCGTGCACTGCCGGGGCAATGCACTCCTGATAATCAATAGCTAATCTAGAATTAGACAAGTGGGCAACGTCAACATGATTAATATTTGACCAGCAGTTTTCACAAAAACACTTCACTGGTCCCATTTGAGACCCTCAGCACGTATCCAAGTTATTCACAAATTCCCAAAATGCATCCCGTGTATGAAGAACAACTTTATTGGTTCTGTGAGAGTGAAGGCAGCACTGGATGTCAGAAGGGGGGAATGAGAAAGTAGAGGAAGAGTAGACAGTCAATCATAAAAATATCTATTCTTGAGAGCTGGAAGGGAGCCATTTAACACTGGGAGATATTGACCTGCACCCTGTGGTGGCAAATGCAG